CAGCCTTCACTATCCAAGATACCAACAAACAGCCTGCACCTTTTGATCGAAGTAGGCGTGGTGGATCATAAAAGACCAAAAGTTCACTCAGGTACTGCGGCATGAGACTATTCAGTGCTTTATAGGTCAATAGTAGTATTTTATAATCAGTACAAAATTTGATTGGGAGCCAATGCAGTGTGGATAAGATAGGGGTGATGTGGTCATATCTTCTGATTCTAGTAAGGACTCTTGCTGCTGCATTCTGGACTAACTGGAGCTTGTTTATTCATCTACTGGAACATCCAGACAGTAAGGCATTACAATAATCCAACCTAGAGGTAACAAAAGCATGAACTAATTTTTCTGCATCATGTAGTGACATTATATTTCTTATTTTAGCAATATTTCTGAGATGAAAGAAAGCGATCCTAGTTATATTATCTACATGAGCTTCAAAAGAAAGACTGGAGTCAATAATCACACCAAGGTCTTTTACTGCTGCACACGATGAAACAGAAAGGCCATCCAGAATTATTATGCAATCATAAAGCTTACTTCTAGCTGCATGTGGTCCTAGTACAAGTACTTCTGTCTTGTCAGAATTAAGTAAAAGAAAGTTAATAAGCATCCAGTGTCTAATGTCCTTTACACATTCCTCAACTTTATTAAGCTGGTGTCTGTCATCTGGCTTTGCTGAAACATACATCAGCATAACAGTGGAAGCTAATACCATGTTTATGAATAATTTTGCCCAGAGGTAGCATATATAAAGAAAAGAGCAGTGGGCGTAAAACAGAGCCTTGCAGAACACCAAACTTTACCTTAGCATGAGAAGTCACCATTTACGTCTACAAACTGATAACGATCAGTCAAATAAGACCTGAGCCAGGAACGAGCTGTTCCCTTAACACCTACAACATTTTCTAGTCTATCGAGGAGAATAGCATGATCAATGGTATCAAAAGCTGCACTAAGGTCAAGCAGCACAAGCAAGGAGACACAACCCTGATCAGAGGCCAGTAGTAAGTCATTTACCACTTTAACCAGCGCTGTCTCTGTGCTATGATGAGGCCTAAATCCTGACTGATACGTTTCATGAATGTTATTCCTATGTAGGTATGAGCATAACTGCTGTGCTACAACCTTTTTTAGCATCTTGGAGATAAAGGGGAGGTTTGATATTGGCCTGTAGTTGTACAATTGTAGTTGGACAACTGACAGGGGTTGAGCTCAGGTTTTTTTAATCAAGGGCTTGATAACTGCTAATTTAAAAGATTTAGGTACATAGCCAGTGGTAAGGAAGAATTGATTAATTTTTAAAAGAAGTTCGATTGTTTCTGGTATTATCTGTTTGAAGAAACATGTAGGTAAGGGATCTAGTACACAGGTTGATGATTTTGATGAGGAAATTAGTGAAATTAGTTCAGTCTCTCGAAGGGGAGTAAAACATTCTAATCGTTGAGCTGATATTATATTTTTATCTACAGGGTTAGTTATAAAACTGTCTGCTTTTAAATTAATAGTCTGTATTTTTTGCCTGATATTTTCAATTTTACCACTGAAAAAATTCATGAAGTCATCGCTGCGATATAATGATTGTGTGCATGTTTCTATTGTGGTCTTATTCCTAGTTAATTTTGCTACAGTATTAAATAAATATCTAGGATTATTTTTGTTATCTTCAATTAGGGTGGAGAGATACATTGATCTAGCAGCACTAAGAGCTTTCCTATAGCTCAGAAGGCTCTCCTTCCATGCTATTTGAAATACTACCGATTTAGTTTGAAGCCATTTACATTCAAATTTTCTAGTGGTCTGTTTTAAGGTGTTTTTAAGGTGTTTTTAATTTCTCCCTAATTATTTTTCTTTTAAGTGGAGCTACCTTATCTAGTGAGTTGCAGAACGTTGATTCTAAACATTCAGTTGCCTGGTCAAGTTCTTCGGGATCAGACGGTGATCCAATCATGGTTGATAACTCTGGGAGATTACTGATAAAAATCTGTGCAGTTGCTGACGTGAACGTACGTTTGACACGGTGACATGGCAAGGTGCATATACTATGATTAAGACACATTTTAAATGAGATGAGGTAATGATCTGAGATAGCTTCAGACTGTGGAAATGAGACTATATTTTCTATATTTAATCCGAATGTTAGTATTAAATCAAGAGTGTGACCACCACTATGAGTGGGTCCTATTACATTCTGATTAACCCCTACCGAATCTAGAATGGACACTGCTGTTCTCAGAGGGTCATCTGGATTATCAAAATGAATATTAAAGTCTCCAACAATTAATGCTTTGTCTAAAGAAACAACCAGGTTAGAGATGAAATCCGCAAATTCACAAAGGAATTCAGAATATGGCCCTGGGGGTCTGTAAATAATAATTACTGGAATCACCTGGGTAGACTTATTTTTTGTGGCTACATATGTTATGTTAGAATAAAGAACTTCAAATGCGTTGAATTTATGACTAGGTTTTTGTGTGACGCCTAGATTATCATTATAAATTACTGTGACACCTCCTCCTCTGCCAGTTAGACGAGGCTGATATATTTAACTGTATCCTTGTAGACTAGCTTCATTTAATGCTACATACTCATTTGGTTTAATCTGGTCCCTGGAGGACTAGTGGTTAGGCCACAGTACTTATACAGCTGTGGCCTGGGTACGATTCCCGGCCAGGGAACCAACCCCAGCCCATGGGGTTGTGTGCACTCTCAGTGCCGGTCCAAAGCCAGGATAAAAAAAAATTGGGGAGGGCTGTGTAAGGAAGGACATCTGGCGTAAAAACTGTGCCAAATCAAAAATAACAAAAAGGGCTTTAGATGTAAGAGACCTAATATTCAACAGTCCTAGCTTCAGATCAAATGTGTTTGCTGTGCATTCGGTTTGATTTAATTTTATGTTAATTAGGTTACTAAAACAAACTGTCTGAGTATGTCTATAATTTTGTTTAGCTCGGGAAACAGACACAGTCTCAATGTGTTGGAACCTAAGTGACGACTCAGTGCAGCTAGCAGACGGTCGGTTTAGCCTGCTTGTCTGCTCCCTGGCCTTGGCCCTGGATTGTCACCGATTAACTAGGCCTGTTCTGAGACTATGTGCTATGCTGCAAGAAATGAGAGCAGCACCTTCCCGAGTGGGATGGACACCGTCCTGCCCTAAAAGGCCAGCCTTGCCCTCAAAGTTAGTCCAATTATCTATAAAGCCCACATTGTTTTTGGAGCACCACCTGGACATCCAGCAGTTCAGCGACCATAACCTGCTGTAAGCTACATCGCCACGCCGCATAGGGATGGGGCCAGAGCATACTACAGCATCAGACATCGCCTTCGCTAATTTACACACCTCTACAATGTTACTCTGAATAACCTCTGACTGATGAAAGCGTATATCATTAGCTCCTACATGAATAACTATCTTTGAGAACCTGTGCTTGCCTAAGACCCTAAGATTACCTGCTATGTCTGGCGCCCTGGCTCCCGGTATACACCTAACTAAAGCTGCTGGTGCCCCTAAAGGCCTAGCTAATTTCACATGCCTTAAGATAGAGTATCCTATAACCAGAGCTCTTTCAGGTTTCTCAGCGGGTGCTTCACTGAGGAGAGCAAACCTGTTGGACACGTGAAGTGGAGAGGAGTGATTCTCCCGTGGTTAGCTTTAGTGTTAGCTTTGGCTTTGTGATTATGCCACCGAGTCGTCACCCATTCGCCCCACTGTCAGGGCTCTAATGCCGGCGTTGGGGCCTCTATCACCACCTAAAGCACCCAGACTTTCCCCTACAGAAACTACGCTGCTCTCACTCTCACTAACCCTCTCTAGAGTTTGGATGAGCACTTCTAATGCTGCAATCTTCTCCATCAGAGAGCTAACTAACAAACACTTATCACAAATAAAGCTATTACTAACAACGAAGGAAGAATGACTAAACTTCTTGCACTCAACACACTGAACAAGCTGAATGTTTGCCATGTTATTTAACATACCTTAGTCGAAGATTAGTTGATATTATTTTAGACAGCGTGGATCCGGCATGGATGGCCTCCGCTCGTTGTCTTGACAAAAAAAAAATGCGTTCTTTGAAAAAATGAAAATACAGCAGAAAGGAAAGGAATACAGCAGATGAATACCTTAAAATTATTGATAAAAAAGAAAGAAACAGTATAGGTTAAACGCCAACGCAGGCAAGAAACTCCCAGCAAACGATTCCAGCAATGATTCCAGTAAGAAACAAGTTTGTATGAAAATAAACTGGTAGTTATAAGCAACCCTTACTTTTTAACTACTGTCTCTTTATAGCTCCAGTGCAAACTTTAGAGCCACTAAACACGGTTTATAGGCTACATTTAGGGTTATCCCAATTAACTCCCATCTATTTCCTAAATAATCCACAGACTAATTCACAGTAGGATTGCAGAATGTATATAAAACATGGGGAGTAAGGAGTGATTGGTAAAAGTGCATATTTTGTTGTTTGTTCAATAAAATGCTGGCAACCTTCAACAGAGAGAATATTGCAGTTTTCGTCATCCAAGAATGGATGTCAGATCCAAAATGACTGGCAATTATTGCCAATAATTGTCAAAAGCTTGATTCTGTGGTCATTAAACTATTTTGTGTGGATTTGGGTGTATGTTTTGGATCATCACTTATCATTTAATGCCAAACCCAGCTTACAAGTGGCTACTTTTTAATTGTCAAAAGGCTGTATCTATATCCATTTGACCTTAAAAGGTCCCACCTGACCTTTAAACCTGGTTCCATTCAAAGTTACGCTAAAGCCTAGCAAACTAGAGTGAAACGGGAAGTCATGGATGACTGCTTAAGTGTTCTTAAACACACAGGTGAACTTAAAAAAGTAAAATGTAACAGGAACATACTTCTGTTGTATTCTGTTCACAAAAATGTCATGGGTTTCAAATAATTGTTTCACTTTTTTGTTTTCTTTATTCTCTTAGAATAAATATACTTTCAGTGTGAGATGAAGATAAGGACCTGTATTATTTAATATTAGCATACTAATATTGTACTTTTAACATTTCTCATTTCTTACCATGTGTTTCTCTGAAACTCCTTCTTTCCAGGTGAAGCTGTGTGATTTTGGTTTTGCCCGGATCATTGGGGAGAAGTCTTTTCGGCGCTCTGTGGTGGGAACACCTGCTTACTTAGCTCCAGAGGTGCTGCTGAACCAGGGGTACAACCGTTCTCTGGATATGTGGTCTGTCGGAGTCATTATGTATGTCAGCTTGAGCGGGACCTTTCCCTTTAATGAGGACGAAGATATCAATGACCAGATCCACAATGCTGCCTTCATGTACCCACCAAACCCCTGGAAACAAATCTCTCCAGAAGGTATATTTCTTGATATTAGTACCAGTTTTTGCCTTTTAAGATAAATAAGAACAGAACATCAATGCAATTCAGTGATTACTGTACCTACATAATGTCTGCTCTTTGTAATGCTTATAGCAATTATAAGAATCACATTATTAAAATATGATTGAAAGCTTAGAACAAGTACTTGGCTGTTGAAATTTTAGAATTGTAGAAAATGCACAATTCTACTTTCTAATAGAGAGCAGAAACCAGAACACAGGACAATACAAATTTTATGTCATCTCTTCCTTTTTTCATAGCTATTGATCTCATCAATAACCTGCTTCAAGTGAAGTTGAGAAAACGCTTTAGTGTGGACAAGAGCCTGAGTCATGCCTATTTACAGGTAACATTAGACACATATACAGAAGGTACAGGATTACTGGACTCAAGAACTGGATTAGAGAAATTTGAAATAGCAAGGAAACAGAAAAAGTAATAAGTATAAAAGCAGAAGGTTTTCTTTTTGAAAAATACATTTCCAGAGAGCAACAAACATGACTCCATACAGATCAATTTGATCTCTATTTACTATCATTGCCTCCAAATCCATCTTTCTCTCCCACTCTATCTGCCCCTCAATCTATCTTTTCTTTTTTTCTCATTCTGTCTTCTAAGGACTATCAGACATGGCTGGACCTGAGAGAACTGGAATCAAAGCTTCGTGAACGTTATATAACCCATGAAAGTGATGATGCTCGCTGGCAGAGGTTCGCTCAGGAGCACACATTGCCTTATCCAGCTCACTTGGTACCTGCATCATCTGCCTCTGATGACGAGCAGGAGGACACTGACGATGCTTGTATGCAGGGACTGACTGAGCGTGTTAGCATCCTCTGAGAAAAGTGGAAGAGGCAACCAAATGTCAGTTGGATGTGGGCAATTAGCTAATTTCAAAATTGGCTTGAATAGATTTTTACATTTACATTTTGGACCTCTTCTCTTTCCTTTTCATCTATCAACTCCCTCTACCTTCTTTGCACTATGTACAGCTGTATGCTCCAACTCTGTTGATGAAGACACCACAGCTGTATCTATCTCTTCAGACAGGTAGAGGTTCCTTTATGCCAAACCTTTCCTTAGTTTACAATACATGGAGGTAGGGGGAAGATAAAAGCAAATATAAATGTGTACAGTGCAAAGATGTTATTGTAAAATATTTCTTTTAATGCTTCTTTAGCCCCTGATTAAGTTCACATTGGTGATAAGTCTATGTTCTTAGTATTATAATATGCAATATGGTTAATGGATTTGATTTAATCAGTTTTTCACTGATGTCATATAGTTCGTCAATAGACATTGCAAATTGGATGATTTGTGTACATATTCCATACAATAAAGAACACGCTTTTCAGGCAATAGCATGCCTGTTCATATTTTCTCTCTGGGAGTGTTTCTTACTCAATTTTTTATTTTTCCTCACCAAATATTCCATTTATGGTAAAATCACAAATACATAAACAAATATTGTAGATTACTCTGAACTCTTAAATGTACTGTGACCTAAGAGTACAATTGTATAAATTATATCAAAAATCATATGGAGCAATATATGGACCATTCTGTAAAACAATGATTTAGGTGTGTCCTGCTTCATTAACTTCCATATTAAATTCACGCATAAATTCACACCATAAAATTTGTGCATCAAACATCCCAGTTTGCCATAAACATCTATGTCCATGATATAGGTGCATATCTGTGATGTCCCAGATATGCACCTATATCGAATAGAAAAGCTATTTAACAAAATTCCTGACTAAAAAAATAGGTTAGCAGGTAATGGGGTTGGGAATCTCTACCTGGTTCTTTGATAACCAGATTCTTTGATAAAGAAAAAAAAAATAACTGGGTCATTGTCTCACCCCTTTGAGTGTACTGGCTCACTCAGTATAAGCATTCCCTAATAATGCAAAATGGAGCAAGTGCTGTCTCAGCCGGAATGCTTTCCCAGTCAATCACCACCACCTACTCAAAAGCATGCTTTCACCTATTATCACATGACTGCTCCAGCTTGAAATCCATTAGAGGTTTGAGGAGGCAGATCATGGTCATGCAATGTACTTGGAAGTGCATCAGCAGCCAGGGCAGCACAGACCTCACACCGTGCTAAAGGCCAGGACCCACCCAGTCCTAAATCTGCTACTAATTCCCTCAATCCCTGCCAATCCATGACCGAAATTACTGGGAGGGAATGGTGGGGTCTAACAGCCACCTTTAGACAATGCTTTTGTCCATTATAAGTGACGATGAGAGGCTCCATAGGATATGGGTGCACATCCCCATGAATACACTGCACCTTAACCTCCC